TGTCTTGAGTCAACAGCAGCCAATATTGGTCTGTGTTCAGACCTGCAGCGTCAGGTTCAGCTGTTACTGGTTGAAGATCTTTTGCCTTACTCACTGATCATAACAGAAGCCTGTATCTTGCTTATACTCATTGAAAGTTCGTTCTTTGAAAGCAAGTGCGGGACGTGAATGAGACAAATTGGCATTGGTCCTTGTTGAAAATAGTACCAGCCAACCGGCAGTGTTCTTGTTCACCCGCCTGGGCGGCACAGTTATAATCTGAAGCAACAATATCGGTTTCTAGGCATTGGGTATTCCCGTCACATCTACCCTTCAGCTATCCCTGCGCAATAACACAAGATCCTGCATGTCTGATATGGTTCGCCAGTGATTCAAGCCAAGCCTTGAGGCAACCCAGACTCGCCCAGCCCCTCGACATGAAACAAGCTTCAACATGGCATCCATTTCAGGAACACATATCTGAACAATCGGGTAAGCTCAGGGTCGAATGACAGGGAGGATGACGTTCAGGGACCTGCATCAGTTGGTCCGGATCTTTTACTGCCCAAGTGCTCCCTTTGCCCAACCATTAATAAGCTGAATAAGACTTCCAGCTGTCTGGGTGACTTTGTGGCGCTTCACGTATGTGCCCAGGGTAGAACACGTGGAAATGGAAGTTAGGTGCAGCCCTACATGCCAACTTAGACATCGCGGATCATTGACCAGATTGTAGTTAGATGATATCTAGCACACAGATAGTCGGTTTCATTCTCCTGTCTAAGGCCTCGGTTACAGATACAATGGGCATTGACTTCATAGGTAACACCTACAAGGAATTTGCCGAGAGATAACATATGCAGCAACTCTGTGATGGGACACTGTTCTGAGTGATCCCAGGGAAATTAGATCTACCCTATGTTATGATCTTTTGGGTCTATATATCACAGCATTGAGACTGCAGTTGCAGGCAAACAAACATAGTAGATAGGCACAATGGACCTATCGGAACGATTCAGCCCGGTCAAGATGGAGAGCATGTTTCAAACAAGAATGAGGCCTCGTCGTTGGATGTTCTTGCGAAGATCTTCGTTGATCAATCAATCACTTGCACGTCTTCGACATATACGGAGGCTTGGCAGCGTGGCAACCCTACATCTGACTCTTCCTAAGACCGCTTCATGTAAAAGCCGGTTTCGTCAAGGTCAAGATGTTGAGTAGCAATGCCCGTGCTGACTCAACTCGATAGCACTCGCATGCTAAGACCAGGGTAGAAGCTACTAAACAGGGCTACCTAGGATAGCTTGCAAGAATCTAAGCCTCTACTGCTTCTGCACGTCCCCTGCATTAAATCAACAGCTGGGATCCCCCACCCGTCAACTCACACCGTTGCCACCGCAGACCCGGCCCAGGCTCGCTTGCGCTTTGGTGGTTTCGTGGGGTGATATTTGCTCCCTCACCATGACGCCTCCTGCAGCAGCGCCAAGTAGCCCGTCATGGTGTCCTACACGGAGGTATGTCCCCAGCCTTGTCCATGGACATGGGAAAGGTTCCGCTATTGTGAAGTGGCAACTTTGATTTAGTGAGCGAGGTTGAAGTCATAGCCTTGTTTGCGACAGAGGTTGGAGCAAGCTTCTCCAGAGACAAGATAATGGGTATTGTATGGTGAGGGCTTCAGTGCCCTCAGTGATCCCTTGTCCGAGGCAAGGATTATGAAGGACCCTCAGTTTTACTCCTACTGTAAAATACCGGGACATCGGAGAACCTGTCAAGTCTCGGAGATGACAATATCTGCCCAAATATTACATTCGATATCATGACAATTTGGCCGTTAGGATAGAAATATTCTCGAAAACCTAGCTCCCATCAACGGCTGATCTAGCCTGATTGGACCCTTGAGTCGAATTCGTTTTCCAGACCAGGAGATACGAATTGAAAATCCGAATCCGTAGCTCCCAGTAATGCAAAACACTAACGTTAGCCTTGCAGTCAGAGCAGTTGCTCGTTTTATGTGTCTCTTCTCTAAAACACTATGTATTTCAGAATGAGGGCATACAATGGTGAGAGCTTCAGACCTATCACCTTCTGGACAGACTTTGGCTGGTGCTCTATTTTCTTTGAGATATAATTAGAACGGATATCAGAGTTTCTCTTCCGGACGTTTTCTCTCGCCTCTGACTTCCATGATAACCCTGTTCAGGTGTGCCAAGCCTGTTACCGAGCCTAAGCTTCCTAGTCCCGTAGCCCGTTACTGGGGATAAATAGCGCTGGTTATAGTTGGTTATAGATATTTGTCGGCATCTTGGGCTGAGAATGGTAATCAATGACAGCACATGATAATGGCAGGAATGTCTTTGCAAAGACAGCCAGGGGCCTTTCTAAATTACAATCAGGAGCCGGACTCAATAGTCAGTCGTGAGAGACATTTCCGGCGGGAAAATTATGATTTCGATTCAGCATGACATTCCGTGTTTGCAGACAATGCCATGCCAATTTCCGATGGAAGCCATTTTCAATGATGGATTCCTTTAGACAAGAAGCGAAACTTACCTGAGGTCTACTGCACGTGACCAGACCTGAAGATAACTTTACCTGACACATAAACACGGCATCATTTGACCGAAACAAATGGAGCAATTTGTTTCAATGTGGCGTCGTAAATATATCTAGTTCACGTACAAAAGTCCCTCTGTGAGAAAGCCACTATCTTCATGTTTGATACGCCTTTTGGAAGGTGGCTGGCCTACTGCGCGGGTCATCTCACGTGATATTCTAGAAGAGGAATCTGAATGGAAACGGCTTGTTGTCATACCTCACTGAGCCCACTGGAATTGAGCTGTGTCATTGGCGATTCAACAAACCCTCATGTCGTGGTTTTCGTCACTCAAGAAACCTACCATTCTGCGGACTTGTCAAGTTAAAATCACTCAAAATCACAATCTAAGACGAACATTCGCAACAGTCAGTATGACGGCCAATCGTGATCCCAGCACTCTCTCCAACTATAGGGCCTGGCGAACTCGCCATACGACTGCTAACTTCAAGATCGACTTTGAGGAGAAGGCACTCAAAGGGTCGGTTGTTCTTCAGCTTGAGTCACAGACGGATAAAGAGAGCAACGAGATCATTCTTGACTCTCGGTATGTGGATATTTCTGCCATCCGTATCAACTCAACAGAGTCCAAGTGGGAACTGAAAGATTATAATGCACCCCTTGGTGCCCCTCTTCACATTTCTGTGCCAGGCGGAGTTGCAAAGGGTGAGCTGATTGATCTTGCCATTGACCTTAAGACAACGAGCAAATGCACTGCTCTGCAGTGGCTTACTCCTGCCCAGACCTCGAACAAGAAGCACCCGTATATGTTTTCTCAATGCCAGGCTATCAATGCCCGCTCTATATTTCCTTGTCAGGACACTCCTGACGTGAAATCAACCTTCACTTTCAAGCTCACTTCGTCTCTGCCAGTTGTTGCGAGTGGTGTTCCCGTGGGAGACCATAATGCCACGCCTGGCGAAGAGAAGCTCTATGAGTTTGAGCAAAAGGTCCCTATCCCTTCTTATCTCTTCGCCGTAGCTTCTGGCGATATTGTCACTGCTCCTATTGGCCCTCGAAGTATTGTCGCCACAGGTCCCAATGAGCTGGAAGAATGCAAGTGGGAGCTGGAGCGTGATATGGAGAAGTTCATGGAAGTGGCAGAGAAACTCGTTTTCCCCTACAAGTGGGGAGCTTATAACGTCTTGGTCTTACCCCCGAGCTTCCCATATGGAGGTAGGTTCTGCTCTTAGCTAGAGGCATTCAAACATTGACCCAGATCACTCTAGGCATGGAGAACCCCATCTACACGTTTGCTACGCCTACTATCATCAGTGGTGATCGTCAAAATGTGGACGTTATTGCCCATGAATTGAGCCATAGCTGGAGTGGTAACTTGGTTTCCAATGCCAGCTGGGAACATTTGTAAGTTCCAGATGACCAATCGCCTGAAGTGATGGTGCTAATGAGGTTCAGCTGGCTAAATGAGGGTTGGACGATGTACCTTGAGCGTCGTATTCAAGCAGCCATCCACGGTGATGCCGAGTTTGATTTCTCTTCCATTATCGGGTGGAAAGCTCTTGGTGCGTAACACTACATTACCAATGAAACTTTGGCTGACCATATCACAGAGGATGCGGTGGAACTCTTCGGCGAGGACCATGAATACACCAAGCTTATCATAAAGCACGAGGGTGTTGACCCCGAGGATGTCTATAGTACCGTTGCATACGAAAAGGGCTTTCACTTCCTCTACTACCTAGAGGGCGTTGTTGGTCGAGAGAACTTTGACAAGTTCATTCCTTTCTACTTCACCAAGTGGTCTGGCAAGTCTCTTGACTCCTTCGAGTTCAAGCAAACCTTCCTCGACTTTTTTAACAACCTTGGAGACGAGGAAATTTCCAAGAAGGTCGCCAAGATCAACTGGGAGGAGAAATTCTACACGCCCGGCCTACCCCCTAAGCCTGAATTCGACACTACATTGGCGAACCAGTGCTACGACCTCGCAGCTAAGTGGAAAGACTCCGTACGTTTAGCCGTCTCTGGTGTGCTATGTTTACGCTGACGTTTTATCAGAACTTCGCACCAAGCGTCAAAGATCTTGAGAACTTCACTGCGAACCAGAAACTTGTGTTCTTGGCTGAAGTACAGCAGTCCGGTGAGCTGAGCGCAGACCGAGCTCAGCTCATGGGCAAAATCTACAATTTTCTATCGTCTAAGAATGTCGAGATTTTGTCATCATACTATCAGATTGCTCTCAAAGCTCAGGATTCTGCCATCTACCAAGACACCGCCACCCTGCTTGGACGAGTTGGCCGAATGAAGTTTGTGCGCCCCTTGTTCCGCGCCCTCAACAAGGTGGACAGACAGCTGGCACTGCAAACATTCGAAAAGAACAAGGACTTTTACCATCCCATCTGTAAGGGTATGGTCGAGAAGGATCTGAGCCTTTAGATATGTGACTATCAGCAGACAGACGGAGAGGCAGTCCCCAGAAGTCCGCTGCCATTACAAAATAAAGAACATATTCAGTCCAGCCATTCCGATTTTGCCATGACTTCAGCCCATGTTTGACTCTCTTCACGAACAAACTTCATAGTGGAGTCGACATTTTCCGCCCCGAAGTTACCATACAAATGGGGAAAACCGCCCTCCCACCTGATGAAATCAGCAAATTGCCTGAATTCGAGTTTGATGACCCAAAGTGAGGATGATCTAGTAAAGAATAAGTCGGCGGTCTTAGGTACCTAAGCTGCATAAGTAAACTGTGACACCGTATACGTAAAACGCTCACTTGAGTGGATGTGCTTAGATGAACAAAGCCATCAGTCTGGTCGAGTTCCGATAGAGGGTGTTCCTTAGGAAAAGGGTCACCAGGCGGTGAAGGAACAATCTTGTAAATGTACCTTGGAGGTGATTCGGCAGACATTCTGGTTGTATTAACCAATACGTGACTGTATGAAGAAAAGAGATGTAGTCGGACCCCCACCAAATAGAGGCATTGGTGATATAGGGCACTTAGAGTTAGTGTGAATTCATACTGTATCACCCGCAACCCATACAACAATAGCCAAGACTCGGAAAATTTGCACTGTACACATAGTTTTCCATGGCCCATTGCACGTGAAGTTAACATCAAACGTAAACTGCATCTTCAACCTCCATTAACTCTCTTCACTACCCCATATCCTTTACGTCATTAATATATTCGAATTGTGAGGGATTTCTTCTGAAGCTGCAGCATAATCACACCTTTCGGGCCTCAAAATCCCCCGGCAAGGCCCCCAGTAGCCACGCGCAACGGGCATGTCGCGGGGCCCAGTTCCCTCTCAGCTTCACTTGCTGTCAAATCTCCCTGCTGTACCTATCGGTGACAAAGTCAGATTCCTCGGATGGTATGACCAGTGAAGATTATTTCCACTCTTTGCGTGCTTGCAATGTTGTGCTTGCTCACACATTCATTCACGGCACGTACTGTTGGCTAACACAAGATAGTGTCACTTCTTACTCAACCTCCTCAGCCTGTCTCTTCCTCAGTCATCTTTATCCAAGAGATAGCAATGTCACCGCTTTGGTGGATGTCAGCCTGCTTCTAGAATCCCTTACAGCTGAGCAAACACGTGTCGGCGAGTTTGTCAACGTGATAGGGTATATCACAGAGCAAAAGTTGACTCGTGATAAGAAACAACCATACCAAGAGTCGAAACAGGTGTGTGTGCAAGCCATAGCCCTCTGGTCAACTGGTCCCATGGACCTTCAGAAGTACGAAAAGCTTCTCGATCCCAAATGAGTTAGCTTAAGGCATGTAACGCGTGCAACCGACAGACTATGGGATTATCAGATCTAAGTTTGATTCATCTCTATTTCCCGTCAAAATGCGATGGACAGGTTTTGAAATGGCAACCTAAACCTGGGCACGATCGCAGAATCCATGGCAGCATACAACTTAAAATCCGATTGGAACACGAAGACTGCCGGGTCCCGAATTCGACAACTCCACCACTGTACTTTCGTGCAGCTCCAGCTTGACCTGCTGCATGCCTAAAACAAATGTAATTTGGGCAGTATTTGCAATCATATGGTTTCCGTTGGGTTGGAATCATGCCAGATGGCACCGCATCTGTGGACAGACATGGCAACCATCATGACACTTGCTTGATTTGGCTCAATTGGGTATCTCATCCTCCACATGTCTATCTTGGGCACCGGACAGCTTCTAATTCATGGCTATTTCCAGCCTGCAGCCCTTTGCTTCACCGCACTCTAACATTCCAACACAAATTGTTTCACAGGCCTCAAAGTCTGAGGTGATGGCTGCAGCTACCAGCCCTCGATGTGCAGAAAAATACCCCCACAAGTGCCTGCCAGACTTCCCTTGGCGTCCTGGAGAGGTGGAGAGGTAACACGGTCTTAACTGCTGAGTCATGTTGGGGCTCAATCATCATCCTGCCGGCGTCGGTCGTGGTAACGTCGATGAGAGTCTCTGGATGACCCCCTCGAAACAATGACAGGCTGGTGTAGCGGTCGTTTCAGCAATTTCTCAGGATTCTGTTGGACCTTAGCTGCGGCCTGTCGATCCCACAGATCTTTCGACTTTCGGCAGATATCATCGATTTGTTCCTATCAGGTATGTCAACCAACCGAGGGCGTTTTACAAACCAGCAGAGACCAACATCTGTCAGGCAGGATCCGGGAGTGGTGATGAGGAAACCATCCTCTCCCTACGTTCGAATTCATGAGCACAGGATAGCCGTTGGGCTAGCTTGACAAAAAGATACCTCCAACGTGTATGGGCGAACTGTAGCCTGGGGTCCTAGATAATACTGGAGTTCTTGAGTGATGACTTTTCTGTGAATGTCTTGATGCGGGATCCAGTATTTGTTCATTGAAGAGGACATGGTCGCACAATCGATTCTACTGAGGAATCTACGAATATCGAGACAGGCTGGGAAGGATAAAGAGATATGAACTGGGCCAAGGGAGGGTATTTATCCAAATTCGGCACAGCCTGCTAAGTTACAAGATATGGTTACGATGTGCCTGACGGTTAGAGGGTAACTTCCATACTAATGTATGCGAACCCAAGGTATGTTAATCTTTTGCGTGTGACTATGCTCACCGCTCCACAGGCTGATATCCCAACACGAATCTGGAAGTCCTCAAGGGGTACCTAGATTTGATTTGCTGCATGTGTTTTTTGTCGTTCCTTGTAACCGGAACCAATATGGCAGGAAACCCCTGCCATACGCCGTGAGCCTTTGAAAGTGAGGCGAATCAGGTGTGGTTGGTCATTGGTGAGCGGCGTCCAGCGTCCGCCCTGCCAGCGTGGCAAATATCGAACGGGTGCATCTGGTGCCAATAACGCCGCGTGAAGTGAATTCAAAGGACGCTTGTTGAATCCAGACTCTATTACTACTCAAATACGTATTTGAACAAGTTAATGTGGGGTTGTTGCGGATGTCTATAAGGCTGATCGCGTCGACAAGAGTCGTCCTTTATTCGGGCGAATCCAGATCTGCGCTTACCACCCGCTCAAGCCTTAAACGATTGTGAGGCTCATTGGGTGAAGCAAGCGCCATGTGCATCTCTTGATCTAGGGGCAACAGCACGCAAAGCCACTTGGACGATAAGTCTGCGGGTTGCCGATCTTGTAAGCGACACAGGACCCCATTCTCTTTCTCGAAACTGTCAAAAGCCAAGCAATTTGATCTCTTTCATGAAATGCTAGCACGACCACGCCGTTGGATCCAGATGATCTGCTCTAAGGCGAACTGCTTCGCTGCGAATGTCAATTGGAGATCCTCAAACCCTTGTCCTGGTCGCGATGCTGCGATTAGCATTCGAAAACCTTAATGTTATAAGCTCATTCTTCATTCATTGGATCGACTACGGAGCTTCGGTTGATTATCATTCCTGAATGATGTTGCAGGCGAGCGAGCATCAGACACCAATTGCCATCATCAGTCCTTTGGCCTTGACCTGAAAAGAACCATCATGACAAATAACATGGTTGATCCTGGAATATGGGAAGCGCCGCTGCATCTGAAGGATTACGTTGCGGCATCCCGGATATGTCTCGAGTTGTCCTCATCGAGTCTGGCTACAAGCCGTATGAGGGTTTGTTAGTCAGGTAAACGCAACAGAGAGACCCCGTTCTCGTACATGAGTTTCAGGGTGTTTCAATGGATTGCGTTTGCAAGCGAGATGTCTCTGTGAGTCATTTTCATCTCGGTTCATATGCCCCAACTTCCGGAGTAACGGGACGAAGAGGTCTTAGTCGCTGGCAATGATCAGGGCAGTGTTCGCACTTAATCTCACGATGAAGAATGTGTTTATCGGCTTTGAAATTATTATCAAGGGACGCCATGCGTTTCTCAAACGTTCCGTCTTGTTTCTCTTTATACGCACGCGAGACAGTTTTACGACTGTATTACCGAATTGGACCGCCAAAGAATCACGACTAACGCGAAGTTGAATGAAAGAGTTGATAATATCTAAGGTTTGCATGGTTTGAGATGTTGAATTTGTCCATGAATGCATGCTATGGCCAGTGCGTGGATGTGATCCACAAATGAAGCGTGGGGAACGGGAGCAGAAGCGAAAGTAGAAGCAGAAGCCAACATCAAAGGCTGGACGGAAAAGCGAAACGATTTGGAGAAAACATGAAGGCTATAAGTTTCATGAAATTGTCTCCATCAAACCAATTACATTGTGTACAGACGTGGCTATTTCAACAGCTGACGAGGACGGTTTATCGCTGGCTCGCGGTTAATGCTCGGCAGTTAGCGTCCTTCAACAAGATTGAAGTCTCTTTCACGTGAATCCTCCACTCCAACTTCTCCTAACGACCCCAGATCCCCTGCTCATGCGTCAGCTGCCAATCAAAGCACGGGACTTGGACCAAGCAGCTTGCTGCGCGACCTCTGACCGCGCCCACCAAATTTGTTGACAAGCAACCATCGCAAGGTGTTACCTCGTCCCCGATAACGAACGGCCGAGCATTCTTGCGGCTCAACTCCCAGGACGGTAGCTCCCAGCGAGACGAGCTTTATTCACTGCGAGCCCCTGTCGAAAGCTTAATAGCGATAGCAAATCCGACACTGTCGTCATTTCTGGATACGTACCTCTTAGCCCGTGCTTCAAGGGACGGTCAACCCCCTTACATAGCGATACCTACGACGAGACAATGCGCTGAAGTTTCGGACGGAGACTACGTCGTGGAGCCACATGCCGTTACAATAAACTATAAGCTATCGATATATATCGCATTGGGGACAGCCCTGATCCCCTCCAAACCCCGCGCATTCCCAACAGCCAAGCTCTTGTCTAGAGGGGACCGACTTGGGTCCCCTAGACATATCTCCAGCCATGCCGCCCGCCGGAGGAGGAAATATCAAGGTGGTGGTGAGATGTCGACCGTTCAATAGCAGAGGTAAGTAGCGCTCACCGGTTTGGGCTTGTATAGATAAAGAGCGGTGCTGAACTGGGACGCAGAAATCGAAAGAAATGCAAAATGTATTGTCGAGATGAAAGGGAACCAGACGGTGATTACCGCACCTGAAGGGAAAGGCGTGAAAGATGGTGGGCCAAAAGCCTTTGCGTTCGATCGTTCGTACTGGTCATTCAACAAAGACGACCCCAATTACGCTGGTCAATCGAATCTCTTCGACGATCTGGGACAGCCCCTTCTCGACAATGCATTCCAGGGTTACAACAACTGTATCTTTGCTTATGGTCAAACCGGTTCGGGAAAATCATATTCTATGATGGGCTACGGGAAGGAAATAGGTATCATTCCCATGATTTGTCAGGATATGTTCAAAAGGATCGATGAACTACAAAAGGATAAAACAACGAAATGCACAGTCGAAGTCTCTTATCTCGAGATCTACAACGAACGCGTCCGAGATCTACTCAATCCATCGACCAAGGGCAACCTCAAAGTCCGAGAACACCCTTCCACAGGTCCCTATGTTGAAGATCTTGCCAAGCTTGCAGTCAACGGATTCCAGGAAATTGAACATCTGATGGATGAAGGAAACAAGGCCCGAACGGTCGCCGCAACCAATATGAACCAAACATCAAGTCGAAGTCACGCCGTCTTCACCCTCATGTTGACACAGAAGAAATTCGATACTGACACAAAGATGGAGATGGAAAAGGTCGCTAAGATCAGTCTGGTGGATTTGGCAGGCTCTGAACGAGCGACATCAACCGGTGCCACCGGTGCGAGACTAAAAGAGGGTGCTGAGATCAACCGATCGCT